TCTTGATGCCCTTAAGGCGGAGGAATTGTTCTGGAAGCAAAAATGTAGGGTTTTCTAGTTAAGGGAGGGAGATCAAAACACTAAATTTTTTCACGCCCTTACGAAGCAGCGAAGAGCGACAAACATGATAACCCAACTTTTGGATGCTGATGGGAATGTTGTGGAAGATGAGGAAGGATTGGTAGCCATTTCTACTAGCTATTTTTGACAAATTTTCCAATCATCAAACCCTGAGGAGATAGAGGATGCACTTTTAGAAGTTACCACTACAATTACTCCTGCAGATAATGAGGGCCTAACAGCACCGGTTTCAGAATGGGAAGTAAAGTTAGCTCTTTTTTCTATGCACCCAGAGAAAGCCCCATTACCTGATGGAATGACAGCCTTGTTTTATCAAAACTTCTGGGATATTGTGAAAGATGATTTAACTCTTATGGTTAATCAATTCCTATTTCAAAGGACTATACCGGCTGGTATAAATGACACTAATATTTGCCTTATCCCAAAAGTTGATAGACCAAATCAGATGAGTCAGCTCCGACCCATTAGTCTTTGTAATGTTTGTTACAAGATTATTTCTAAGGTCTTATGCCAAAGAATAAAAAAAGTCCTCCTTGATAGGATATCAGAAACCCAGTCAGTCTTTGTTGCTGGGAGACAAATATCAGACAACATAATGATTGCCCATGAATTGTTTCATGCTTTGAGAACAAAACCAAGTGGGCGCAATAAGAGGATGGCAATTAAAACAGACATGAGTAAGACATATGATAGAATGAAATGGTCTTTCATTGAAGCCACCATGAGGAAGATGGGATTCTCAGAAGTCTGGATTACATGCATTATGCGATGTGCAACATCAGTAAAGTACAAGGTACTTACGAACGACCAACCAAGAGTGAATATTGTCCCGGAGAGAGGTCTACGTCAGGGAGATCCTTTATCCCCTTTCATTTTTATTCTAGGCACGGAAGCGCTCGTTAGCCTTCTTAATCATGCAGAGAATCAGGAAAAAATAACGGGGATGCGCATCACGCGTGCGTGTCCGTCGGTATCCCACTTACTCTTTGCTGATGATAGCCTTTTCTTTTGTAAGGCGGAGCCCCGTGAATGTGAAGAAGTAAGGAAAGTGGTTAGGAAATATGGACAAGCCTCTGGACAATGCATTAATTTTGATAAGTCTTCTTTACTCTTTGGTAAGAGGATCGGTCAAGAGGCCAGGCAGGAGATCAAAGATACACTGGGGATTCAAAGTAAAGCGGGGATGGGAACTTACCTAGGGATACCAGAGGATATCAGTGGATCGAAATGTAAGCTGTTTGCCTTCTTAAAAGACAAGCTTCGGAATATAGTGAATGGATGGACAGGCAGGTGGTTGTCTAAAGGTGGAAAGGAAGTAATGATAAAGTCAATCCTGCTAGCTCTCCCAACCTATGTTATGTCTTGCTTTTTGCTCCCACTGGAGATATGCGATGCCTTGGCTAGTGCCATTGCACAGTTTTGGTGGAGTTCAAACCCACCAAAGAAAGGCTTACACTGGACGACATGGGATAAGTTATGCTTATCTAAAGACGAAGGAGGCATTGGATTCAGGATGATTCATGAGTTTAACCTGGCGTTACTAGCAAAGCAGTTGTAGAGATTGGCCCAAAATACAGATTCCTTGGTAGCTCGAGTTATGAGAGGGCGGTACTATCGACTAAGTTCGCCTTTGCGAAAATCACTGTCAGTAGCCCATCATATGTGTGGACAAGCATCTCGGCTGCACGTGAATTATTGATATTGGGGATTAGACAGAAGGTTCATTCCGATTATGAAGTAAAGGTATGGGAGGACCCATGGATTCCCACAATCCCAGCGAGACCAGCTCTTGCATCTGTGCCGGTTCTGCATCCGAACATGAGAGTGAGTGATCTTATTAATCAAGAAACAAAGTCTTGGGATCTAGATTGGTTGACAAACTATGTTGACGCTGCTGATATACCTCTCATAAGGAGTATGGAAATTAGTTCAACACACCGCAAAGACACATACTGCTGGAGTTACACAAGGAGTGGGCAATACACAGTTAAGTCTGGCTATTGGGTAGCTCGGAATATACTAATGAAGAAGGAAGAGATTCTGGTCGATGAACCTAGCATTAAAAGGCTTCAAGCACAGGTCTGGAAGGTCAAAGCACCCCCGAAGATGTGCCATCTTATGTGGCAGATTATATCGGGGCAGGTGGCGGTTACGAGTGCACTGAATCATAGACATATCAGATGCGATAACTTCTGCCCACGATGTGGAGAACAGGATGAAACGATTGCACATGCAATTTTTCAAAGTCCACCGGCATTACAGGTGTGGGCCTTAGCATCTATACCCACCAGTTCAACTTTATTCCCTTTGGAAAGTACGTATTCGAATATGGATTATCTATTATGGCGGAAGAAGGCTATTTGTGGGCCAGAATTAGACAAGGATCCTTATCCTTTGCTAATATGGTACATTTAGAAGGCTCGAAATGATAAGTTGTTTAGAGGAATAGATAGAGACCCCCTAGAACTGGCCCGGTATGCTGAGAGTGAGTGTCTTGCCTGGTTCCAAGCTAATGAGCAGGAAGTTGTGAGTTCACTAGAGAACGGCGATACTGAACGTCAGACCATAAGCCTACGAGATATTTGCATGATAGACGGTTCTTGAACCTCTATAGATCATTTCTTCGGTTGTGGATGGGATTGGAAGGATAGCATGGGGAATAGTCAGCTGATGGGGATGCGTAATGTGAGTAGGGTGGAGTCGCCTTTGCATTCTGAGATGGAAGCACTGCGGTGGGCAATGGAGAACATGCTTCAACATTCGCCATGTCAGAGCTTTGGGACGGACTGCAAGGAATTTTTAGCAATGCTCACGAATCCCCGGGGATGGCCAAGTTTTTCGACGGAACTAGAGAGGATCTCGACGCTGAGGATTTGTTTCCCAGATTTCAAGATCACTTATATTCCTAGATCTCTAAATCATGTGTCTGATCATTTAGCTAAGACTGCTCGATCCTTTTATCGTGAGCTCATGTATGTTGGTTGTTCTATTCCGGTCTGGATTCCCAGACCACCTCAAGCTTGAGTAATAGATCAACCTTTCGTTGTCAAAAAAAAAAAAAAAGACAATAAAAGCCGGTTATATGCTTCTCTTTCCTTGCTATAACCACTAATAACATAAATTGATTAATAATCCAGATTTTTATAAAGGTCTTCCGCAATTTTAGAGTACATAAACATAATTTTAACCTCTTAATAACTCAAGTTCATATTTAAATACTAACAACATCTGCTAAAGATCTTAGTAGCGTCCATTATTCTTAAATTATGTTACAATACATGCATTCTTCTTCGGCTATGCCACATACCATGCATTCTTGTTAACTTATCCGAAATCTGTCATCTAGAAACAAATGCTGACTTGATTTCTGAAATTCTATTTGGTATAACTTTCTTTAATCTTAGGCATAAAACCTTAGAGATTATATTATAGCTGACATTGCACAAGCTAATGTGCCGGAACTGAAACCTCTCATTAGGCTTAGTGATCTTCGGGATGAGGCAGATGTTTGTATCATTGAGCCCATTCGCCATCGTTCCTTCAAAAAGGAATTGATTAATCATATGAGTTAAATCTTTCTTTACAATATCTAATAATTTTGGGTAAAAAAGAGTTGTCATCCCATCTGGCCTTGGAGCCTCCTATGGGTGCATAGCAACTAAAGCTAGTTTGACTTCCCATCGGAGCTGTAAGGTCCGTATTAATTGACTCAGTAATCATAGTAGACACCTCAGATAAGGCATCCTCTATATCTTATGGGTTAGAGGACTCGAATATCTATCTGAAGTAGCTAGTAGGAATGGTCAGTCATTCCTCATCCTCAACAACACTTCCATTTGCATCTAAGAGCTGAGTGATTCTATTTCTTGCTCTCTTTTACTTTGTCAATGTATGGAAGAATTTAGTGTTTCTATCACCTTCTCTTAGCCAGAAGACACGACTTTTTTTTTGCTTCTAGAACATCTCCTCTGCCTTAAGAGCATCAGAAAATTCCTTCAGAGCTTCTTCTATTTCCTAAGTTGTAGCGCCATTATTTGAGTATAGATCCTCCACCTTCTATTTAAGTTCCTCCACTTGTTTTTCCGAGTTCAAATTGTGTTGTCTCCTCAACTGCTTAAGGTTTTGTGGAAATTCGAAATATGCTCCATGATATTTGTTTCTAGAGGCAGTTCCGGAGATTTCTACCTCTCAAGAATGACTTATCTTAGTTCCTTATTATTTAGCCACCTTTTGTCAAATTTAAATATTTTAGATCTTCTTGTTGGTTTTGTAAGAATGTCTACTAGGATCAGACGATGATCCGATCCCCATAACCTCATATAATTAACAGTAGAATGATGGAAATTCTCATGCCAGTCCTCGTTCCCAACAGCTCTGTCGAGGCGGCATCTAACAGTTGTTCCTCAAGCTCTTTTCCCTACCCTTGATAGCATATTCCCAGTAAATGAGAATACTAGTATCCCACAATCTCTTAACATCTGCTTGAAAGGTAGAAACGAGCTGTCAGGACGTATTCGTCCTCTTTCCTTTTCATAGTCTCTCCTGATTTTATTAAAATCTCCTATCATAAACCACGGTTCAGTTCTTGCTGTTGAAAAATGCGTAAGATGTTCCCAAACTTGATCTCTTCGTTCTAGTACAGGGTCTCCGACACAAAGTAAATACACACACCAACAATCTTGGAAAATAGAAAAGGATATTCTTATACTTCGTGGTGATGAATGTGACCCACCTTTCCATCCATGAACGTGTGAGATGAGTCATCTATAATGACGTGTGATCTTGCTTCCGGTGGTTTCCTATATATCATTTGAGGTCCTCAAATGAATGTCTACATCTCGTTCTCTATTTTTGACCCTTCTTGTTGTGTTTGACGCGTTAACAAATGTTCCATTACATGTGACATCATCCTTGCAGGTTCAGATGACTAGCCTAAAAATCCATAAACTCAGTTCACAAATCATTAGTTACGTTTAGGTTGGAAACTACTTAAAAAATTCTATATTGTAAAGATTAACTGTTACAATAAAAAAAAAATTTCCATGTCTTTCTATACAAATTTTACGACACTAATTCTTATTTTCTATATACAGACCTGAAGTGTGAAACCACGTTGGATTTATCAATCTGATCATTGTAGACGCTCTTTGAGGTTGCTTTAACTTGTGCCGCCTGAATATCTTCTGCGTTTGTTGTAGAATTTGTCGATGATTCCACAACATCAATAATGAGACGCTGCCATAATGTACAAGTTGGTTCATCCATATTGATGTCAGTTGAGAGGTTGATAATGTCATCCGATGCAGTCACACCCTCGATGTTTCTGTCACCAACACCGTACCCATGATCAATCATATTTTTCCAATAATCTTTTCCCATCTCCATATCTCCCCAATTAGAAGTGAAGTAGGGTGTTGCTTCACTCATCTCATCATCGGCGCTTGCACCACAGAATATGTAGGAAAACGTGCATCGTGAAGTTACTGGATTATCAAACCTCTTTTTGAGCAATGGATTTGGTGTCAGTTTTACATGGGTTCGCAACAAACAATTAAAGTTTGACATTTTAAAAAATATGGTTTTAATATCACTAGTAAGAAATTTAAACGAAATGCTATATCTTTCTTTTACTAGTTAACAGTTAGAGGATCATCGTACTAACCATGATCTCCTACCGGTCCCATGTTTAGATCAATGCTGCTTTTTGCTTTTTCATCTTCTAACGAGAATCGATAAACAAGAACCAACTTCTCTTCACTAAAGAAATCTTGGAGGATGCTCCTACTACAGTTTATCTCGTCATCTCCAACAAGATCTATCAAATATTATTTAAAAGTTGAAATAATTTTTGATTATTTCTCTTTGTTGGTAAATATAAGGTGGTATGTTGTAGTCTTGGAACAATTACCATTTATAGTGGAAAGATGTTGCTCTTCCGTGCTACCCTCTCCCTAATACATTGTATCACCGATTGTGAAGGGTATCCTACTCACAAACTGGTACTTAGCAATATTTGGCACTTCGAACGTCACACAAATATGCACCTCGTTCGTCTACTTACGTACACTCATCATTATCGCCACGTCGGCTGATGTTACATTGTTATGTGGAGGTGATTTTTTTTTTTCATACGGTTCCAGCATACATTGTGGGAACTGAATGGCCTTTTAGGCGCAATCATTAACTCTCCCCGGACATGATGCATCATTCCAACCAACTTTATTTGACCGGGCTACTATATAGTGCTCCTATTCAGTAGGATCTTCATCAAACCTTTAATCACCGTCGTCTGATTTTTCACATTGACCACTTTGAATCTGGATTAGTTGACCCATCTATCAGAATAGTAAAATTTCATCAATTTGGTCTAACCAACTTTAGATTACTCAAATTAGTTATGATGATTGTTCTTCTTAAATGTGATTCATTTGATTTACCCTTGAAGTGGTCCCAAATGTCAGCCTAGAGCTTTATGCAATAAACCAGAATTTACTTTTATACTCTCTCAAGTTCATTTATTAGGCACTCGATACAGGATTTAGCCATTCCTTTTTACCTTCATCCAGTGAGTAATTGAAACTGATGTGTAAATGGGATTGCAGAAAGGCTTTATTTATAACCATATTCAGTATCTAAAACTGGCGATACGTACACATGTATATAAAAAGCGAATCCAGCTAATATTTCCTCATTTTTTCCTTGCAGGCTACCTACATGTAGCCTATCATCATTACATGTTAGTCTTACACTGCCATCTTCTTACAAACAAATACACAAGTTTACCATATCCACAAAGATTTGCAAAATATCTTCTACAGTTTATTTTTATTTTTATTTTCTACTAAACTGGCCAATAAATTTGCTTACACATTGGCTATTACATCAATGATCTTCATTTAGTAGTTTCCAACTAACTTTATTTTCTAAGCTATGTGACATATTAACAACTTAACCATTTACTTTCTTTAATGTCAAGCTCGTTTGTAATACATAAGTAGTTTAACATGGTTACCTCACTTGATTATTCTAATCACATTTTTCCATAATGATGACAAATTATGTGAAGAAGTTTGACCTGGTTACTAAATTCCGATAATCATTGGTATATCGAGTTTTATGTTCTAATATGTGATACCTTTTTTTGGCAACTAATATGTGATACCTACTACTCAATTATACGCAAAAGTCAATTTCTCTCTGACACGGTTCCCCATGCTCAACCCTTGGAAGCTTCCAAGCCGCGCTTCCGGTGCGTCTCGATGAACCTCACCACTTGTGAAGATCCCCCTCCTCTCCTCTTCCCTCCTGACCCTCCTGACCTCAACTGCTCCCTCTCCCCTATCATGTTCCCTCCCCTCGGTGTCATAGTTTCAACACTTCCTTTAAGAGATTCAACCTTATCCTCTCCCAAGGTTAGGAACCCTCCTCCCGCCCCAACTACTGGTGCCTGGCAACTAATATGTGATACCTACTACTCAATTATACGCAAAAAGTCAATTTCTCTCTGACACGGTTCCCATGCTCAACCCTTGGAAGCTTCCAAGCCGCGCTTCCGGTGCGTCTCGGTGAACCTCACCACTTGTGAAGATCCCCCTCCTCTCATCTTCCCTCCTGACCCTCTTGACCTCAACTGCTCCCTCTCCCCTATCATGTTCCCTCCCCTCGGTGTCATAGTTCCAACACTTCCTTTAAGAGATTCAACCTTATCCTCTCCCAAGGTTAGGAACCCTCCTCCCGCGCCAACTACTGGTGCCTGATGTTAGGAGTTTTCAAGGCTCCTAAGGCAAATGTTGTAATATAGATGATTGTCGAACCAGTTCTGAGGGACTTAAAAGCACCCAGAATACAAGTACTAGCTTAATCTAAGTGCGATCATGTGATTGATTGGTTTTTAAGGTTAACTAAAACTAGAATGCAATAAAAGATATAACTTTGACAAAGAAGATAAAGGAGAACTCATGGGTATAGGGAATTTGACCTTGGGTGATCAAGTTTCGATCTAAGAATGGCAAGCGATCAATTAAACTGTCTACCTTAGGCCTAGATACGATTCTAAACAAGCTCTATGCCTAGATGAATGTTCATTTACTACCATAACTCAAGCATCAAATGTCTTTGGTTGAATATTATAAAAGTAATCATTAGGAATAGATCTATTAGCCATCTTATCACCTTTAACAACAAGTGTCCCTGGTAAAGACTGTTAAAAGCTTAAGAGAGTTGATTCAGACATTTCATCAAACACTTTGTGAGTGGGAAATGTCTAGAGATCAACCTTTGAGTGATCAATTCAAAAGAGGCATTATGGTTACTCTAATAAGCAAGGAACAAGAAAATCTAACACTAAAACATCCCAAATCTAACCTAATCACCCTTAATCTCCCTAACCCATGAATGCAAAAGGTGATTACTCACTAATCTCCATGATTCCTCTTAAACATTCAGATTAACCATGTAGAGAAATAGACAAGAAATCAACAAGAACACAAGATGAAAGCAATGAAATTTTGAATCAAAAGAAGTTTTTCTTCAAGAACAAAAGATAATCTGCCTGTGGAAGCTTACAACGTAGTTTTAATTAGGTTTCTGAAACTCAAAACATAAAAAACAAAAATTGCAAAAAGGTCCTCAAAGTCTTATTTTCGCCACATAAAAGACGCACAGCGGAGTCACAACCCCGCTGCCAAGACCCCGCTGTGGCTGCTTTTCTTTTCTCTTGAACGAGAGCGACCCCCTGACTCCGCCCCGGGGGTCCGCTATGGGAGTGGAGCGGCCTCCCGACCCCGCTGCCAAGACCCCGCTGCGGCGCTCTTCTCTTGTCCCGTATCTCAAACGCGAGCGGTCCCCTTACATCCGCTGCCGAGCCTCCGCTGTGGTCTGGAGCAACCCTTTGACTCCGCCCCGGGGGTCCGCTGTGACTGATGTTGCTTGCAGCGACCTCTTGACTCCGCTGTGGCTGCTCCGGCTCGCCAAATGACATTTTTGCACTCTCTTTTGGCACATAATTGATCCCAAACACCTCCAAGAACTCCACAACATGTTTCACCACCTGATAAAGACAAATGAATGCAAAATGCAACCTAATAGTGCCTAAATCTAATCTATATGCTCAACATGAATAAGAATGCAAGGTTAAAACCAAGTAAATATGCAACATATCAACTCCCCCAAACTTGTCCTTTACTTGTCCTCAAGTGAACTTTCAAGGACTTATGGAAAGAGAGGTTTAAAGGTGGGAACTCATAACCAAGAGAAACACATCTAAGAACTCAACTTAACATCCTAAAGAGACATTCCAAGTAGCACGAGCAGACTCTCTTATAACACTCTAGCTTCTCTAGGCGTATCAACACACTCTTATGCCTTTAAACAAGATGCAATACTTTTCAATTTCACTACAAGAAATATGGGTATTGGTAGCAGTTCACGGTAGCACGAATTCACAAACTGCTACGAAAAGTAGTTAAATCCGATACCCGTCCTTTTTGTAGCGTTAGCTAAAGGCTAGGGACAAAATTCATTAACCCGGGCAAAAAAAAGAATAAAAAATACATTAATAGTGGTAAAGTGTCGGGTCTCTCTCTTTACCTTATGTTATTTTTTTACCTTTTCCACATCTTCTCCTTCGCTTCGTGACCATCGACGAAGCATGCAACAGTGAAGCCTTAGCTCTCTCCGACATTTCTCGAAGATCTTCTCGGCTGTGGTGTTGTCGTCGCCGGCGGTGAGATTCCAGGTGAAACCCAGTTTCGATTCTGAAGTTATGAAGTTGGATTGTCTGATTTCTTGTCTGTGAACAATGATATCATGTTTTTCCAGAGAAGGGCGTCCGAGTTGGAAGTTGAGGGTCGTGCAGATTCATCCTCAACGAATCCAAAGCAAGATCTGATAACTGAGATATTGGGACCTGATCAACCTGGGCGGTTCAGAGCTATGGGCAGAGGCATTAGCACTACCAAGTTAAACTGTTTACAAATTAAGAACAGCTTCGTGGCTGCCATGCAAGAAAAACATGTGTCTCTGGAGAAGCAGGTTCATAGTTTACAGCAGCAAATTGCCAGAATGAATAATCAGGCTCCTGATACTGATGTTAGTGAAAACTCAAATAACAAGGTATGGTAGAACTTACTTTGAATCAATATATCTCGATAATTGTATTTAAGAATTGATTTGAATATTTTGTCCTGCATGTAGAGTGTCAATACGAAGTTACTGCCCAAGTGTTATCTTGTGGACTGGTCTGCTGTTGATGTCAATGTCGCTGAGGGACGGGTTGTTTCTTGTGAACCAGATGAGTTAGTTAATGGGATACCGTTAGGGCCTAATGCTGTGAAGGATTTAGTTGAAACTGCAACAAAACCAGAAACATTTTTATGGAGACCTGCACCTAATATGTTTACTATGGAGGATGCAGTAGGAGAAATGATAGCATGGCATTCCGATCATTGTATTGTTGCTGCAGCTTCTTTACCAGATGACAATGCTCCTAAGGTTAATATTCCTCTCCTCTATAGCTGAATCTGACTCTCAGTCGGGGTCTTTCTTATTCAAAATTCTTGGTGTTGTTTTGCAGAGCCCTTTCAGCAGTTCTAATAAAAAATGCAAACTCATGGACTACGTGCATAATGAGGAAGTCGTTGCTGTAGGCCGATGGCAGACAAAAGAACCAAAAACGTTGGTGAAT